CCACAGGAATTCGATGGGAAGCATATAGAGCACAATGTAAGCTACTGGCAGAAATGAATGGATGGACAGAGGAGAAGAAAGCAGTGTACCTGGCACTGGTGCTTGAAGGGACAACCACCGGAAATACTTGGATAGTTATCAGCAGACGACAGGCACAGCTATAGAGCACTGGTAGCTGCTCTAGAGCTCAGGTATGGAACTCAAAATCAGTCTGAAGTCTACAGGGCTAGGTTTAGGACGATAGTCCGTACTAAAGGGGAGAGCCTGTAAGAGCTGGCACAGGATTTGGAAAGTATGACACATAAGGCCTACCCAACTGCACCACCTGATGTCCTCAAGCTGTTGCTGAGGGATCAATTTGTAGTCGCCTTGGACAGTCCACAACTAAAGATACAAGCATATCCCTCTACTATGCAGAATGCAATGGCCAGAGCTCTTGAATTTAAGATACAATTATGATATACATGGTGTAAAAATTTTTTTTAAATATATTTAACTTGTTTTGAATATATATTATTTTAAAACAAGCGGAGTGTGAGGTGTTCATTTATCGTCAACAAGTCACAGACACCTACTGTAAAAGAATCCTTAGTCCAACACGCCCATGTGCTTAATTTAATTTAAAAAGTAAAAGTTTCCTGACACTAATGTTACATATATTATAGTGGCCATTTTGTTAAGTTTATACAAGGGTGTAGGTCATACCCATTTGGAGGAGAGATACAAAGGTTTTATAATTTGGTGTGAGCTAGGGAATAATCTTCATTTAACAAATGGAAATGGTCACTGTTAGAGGTACTTTAGAATTGAGAAATATTGCCCTATGGCTTTTGTCTGACTCAACAGTAAGGACTGAAGTAGTTGTTTCTTTACTCTTCTAGCTTCAGCACCCAAATCAGTTAATCACCAAAATTGATGGCAACCAGGTCGAAACAGCAAGACTCCAATACTCTTTACTGTGGAATAAATATTGTTGCTATTTTTTATTTCATGTGTGTGATTGAGTCTTGAGTTCTATAATGTGTATGTGAAATTTATTTTCCTAAAACATTTCCTGAATTTATTGTTTATTGCAGATCTTGAGACTTACATGTTTCACATTACTGAACTTGAATACTTCAGAGTAAGTTATCTTGCACTGGTTCTATAAGCTAGGATATGTTTTGCAAAAATAATTTTGAAAAGTTGACTCTATGAAAATTGTTAAACTCTAATCAGGTAAAAGCACTTTATGAGACCACATAGAACTTATGGTGGGGAAAGTATACTGTGGTTGAAGTGGGAATGTAATCTGAGATTAAACTAAAGACTAAGAGTGGTTCTCTCTTGGTTCAATTTTCTATCCATCCTCAGGACTGGGAAGATGATGGGCAATTAGGGAAGCCCTGGCTGCTATAACTTGACCTCTACATGTTACATCTATTTATAGTATCATAGGACAGCAAAGACGAGTTATGAAAATTAGTTCAGATGTCCCGAGACCAACTAGGATAGTCTCAGTCGGATTTCTAGGTGCTCTTGACTAGATTAAGTATTACCAGGTGATAGTCAGCGTCATCTATGATAAAGAAGAATGACTATTTATGCATGGTGGATGAACAGTAATAACAATAATAATGCATTGCCATGTAGAGCAGCCAATGTCTTGCAGATTATAGGGTTGCCAAGAGCCTTCCTGGATAACAAGACACACTAGTGATGTTCTACTAGTGTACAACAAAAAGGAGGATCACTATGCTTCATAGCATTCTGTTGATTGTATCACACAAGGATACCACATACTTCAGGATGCATGTGTGTCTCTAGATATCTGACTGAAGAATAAATAAGATCTCCCCAGGACAATGACACTTTCTTAGCCACACAGTAGCGGAGAAATTGGAACATGTATGAACCAACTTTACAATAGGTTAATTTAAAGTAGGATAGTCTGCTGGTGTTTAAGGGGAAAGAAAATAGATCTAGACTGTTTTCTCAAACGTTTCAGACAAGTGATTGCTTGGAACAGATGGATTCAAGCACAGGTAATGCAACAGTTGATGCTGAGTTTAAATTCCCTAGAACATTTTAATAAGAGGCAACATGACAACTGGGACACCACAGTTCTTGCTCACTTGCATTACAATCCAACCCTCAGAGAATTAGACAATCCATGGGACTGAATCCAAAGTTTGAAGGTATGGGCTCCACCAAAATTGGACCATTTACAAAAACATTTTTAGATGGGAAGTTATTCTTTGAAATGTAACCCGTTAATCATCATGAGATTCTCATCAATACTTTCATAGAAGGGCATCAAGTTTCTGAAGGTGATCGTTTCTATGCAACATGGATCAAGCATTGAACCATATGCTGGTGTATGTATATATATATATATAAAAAGGAAACTGAAAACATTTTCTGACTCAGCTATAGAACAATCTCAAAGGTCTGTGATTTTCTTTAAATTACAACTAAAACATTAACTAACAATTTCATTGCTGCAGATGTTACAGAGTCGTAATGCATTTACCATGATTCTCTATGTTGAACAACAATTTCAAATTCCTTTTACCATGGCTGCACTCACCTTGATATCAGGCCCTCAAGCAAACACCTAAAATACGAGGATTGGAGCTCCAGTTTTAATTATAGCTTAACATATAATTGGATGTTGAATTGTCATTATTCTGTTAGAAGACAGGCCTGTCAGATGTAAAATTTGTTCCAGCTGCTGCTACAGAAAATGCAAAAGGGTTAAAGGATTCAAATCTGATGGAATATGGTGTCCACAGTTGTCTAGAAAGTCTCTGTATGCTGTGGTTGTTTTTGAAAATGACGATCTGAAACGTTTACAAAGGGAATATATTTCCCCCTTCTCCAGAAATCGTTTGGAATGGAATTAGAAGTGCCTGGCTGTGATCCAGTTGGTGTGAATAATCGTCGTTTCAATTCATAGGTCTAATTTTGTCAGATAGTGGTTCTGAAAGTTGTACAAGACTAAACAGTTTTGGGTGGTATGCTATTAAAGCTAAATGTGAAATACGGAAGTCTCATTTCTGAAATTATAATGTTAAGTTTCAGAAATATAATAATGCACACATAGTTAATCATTTTTATGATTTGTTTGTAGTTAAGCACAATCGGCTATCTGAGCTGTGCCCACCACGAGTACAGAAATCCAGTTTTTCATGTTATAAGTCTACAGGCTTACCTCTGTGCCACTGGAAGGCTAATTTTTATGACCAAAAATTTATCTTCAAGTAAGATGCCAATTTTTCCATAATTCATATTATAGCTTTAATACACCACCACCCAAAATTCAGAAGCATGTTGAGGTAGTTGGAAAATCATAATAATAGTAAGGTCAATTGCTGGTTTCAGTTCAGTTTTGAGTCTGCATCATTGATGCACTGGAATACGATTTTCAGATTCCCACCAAAGGCCTTAAATTCATAACCAAAGACTAGTGTGTTATTTACATAAATGAGACAAATTCCCAACTACAGCCTCTCAAACGTTGCATATGCATTATATAAACTGAATGGCACAGTGCAGAGTTCATACAGTTCTTACTGTAAAACAAATTATAGTTAAGTTTCACTACTTATTTATTACTGGATTTAAAACTAGTTACCAGAAAAAAGCTTGTATTTTCTTGTTTTTCTTCTGTCAGGTTGTCTATTTTTACAGAGATATTTTCATTTTCAATGAATGAGATATTCCAAAAACATTGTAAGTACACCATATGCAATAGTTTGCATGGTTAATTAAAATATAATTTATAAAAAGTTTCTATGTATTAGTATGCCAGAATACTAACCATGATTACAAACAAGAGTAGAAACTAGGTTAAGTAATCTTTAGTAAATTCTAGGTAGGTTTTGAGGACTCATTGACTGGTTGTTAGGCAGAAATGTCTTAACAAGGCAATCTTTTGAGTGACCAGACATAAAAGGAACATGCCAAGCACGCAATGTTGCTTGTACAAATAAATTGTCATTTCTATTAGACAAATTATATCAAATGTCATCTAGTTGTCTCTCTCTCTGTCAAGTGCTAACCAAGGAAACCACAGTAGTAATGTAGCTAAAATTGCATGTATAAATTGAGCCAGAAACTTTGATCTTATTTTACTATAGTATCCTTACTTGAGATATAATACATAAATATATTCTTAAAAAGAAAATAGGTGAAAATATTCAGATACCATCCTCATTGATATTTATGTAATGCAATAAAGTGTGTCCATTAAATTCCTTATCAATATTCTAGATAAATACACATACAGAGATAAAATATTAACTGACTAAAGCTTTTATTGATAATTAAAAAAACAAACAAAAATGTGCCAATACAAATCAAGCCAATCATGGTACATTATTGTAAGGTCAATTATGACCAAGTCCCAGCTTTAAAATTTAAAAGGAAATTCATACTTGTAGTTATATTTTACTTCAATTTATAAAAAAAAAAAAAAACATTCATACATGAAGCAATACAAAAGCTTCAAAAAATACAAAAATAGAACTGTCATCTAAGCTATATATTTACAAGCCATGGGAGTGTCTGATAAAAATCGATCTTGAACACAATTCATAAAAAAAAAATCATCCATAATGAATAGTGAAATATGTTTGTAAATATCCTTTATAATACAAGATACCTGTAAATAAAAAAGTTTGAAGAATTTCAAAAAGAACTTGTTAAAAAAGAAAGCAAATTAGTAGGCTTTAATAATCCGTGTACTGCTAGAAAATACAATTTACAGAAAATCAGTGTATAATATTTAAAAAATCAACAGTATAGACTCCAACTCACTCCAAACAGTATCAAGATACAAGTCATGGTGATCACAATATGAATGTGTGTATGTACAGATACACACATGTACACAGAATGGCGTCAGTGTTTCTGAAACAGACTCTAATGCTGCCACAAGACATTAATATTTTGGCATCAACAATACATAAACACAGAACTACTATATACATCCTGCAATAAGCAGTAGATGACTCAACTATGCAATGACTGCTCAACATACACTACAGCATACTCTACACTAGTAATGAACAACATAAACTTATGCAATGTATACAATACCTTGTACTTCTGCTATATGATATCACACTCATACAACCTTAAATTGCTGTCAGAGAAAAACAAAAAGGTGCTTTTGAGAGGTTGTGTCTTGATATAACATTCACTGGACAACTATCAATACTGATATTAGTTGGCTACTAAGAAAATCAGTAACAATTAAACTCTGACAGATTAACATGAAAATATTTTATGTTAAAAACACACATATTCAAAATTTCTATGATATTAAATAATTACATGTTTAAGACTTTACTAACTATATAAAAATTAACAAAAACATATTTCTAAGGAACGTATTTAAAAAACTCATTGCAGTGCCAATGTTACAGATCATGATTAAATATACTATAACAAAAAAGATGTTAGATTCAACATCTACAGAATCTATATATTCTACACTATATAAGTAAACCCTTAAACTCAGTGTTCACTGTTTACAACACAACAATATATATCTATAAACTCACACACACACACACATATTGCTGGTCAGAAAGTCTGACAGAAATGGCATTCTACACATTACATTCTGGCTTCGTGTGTGGCAAGAATGACAGACATAATGATGTTTCACAGATGATACCCACTCTTCTATTTGTAGTTGAACAACTGAAAGAAGCATTTGAAGCAATGATTTTCACTCATTATTCACAAATACTATTCAAATAAAAACAGTACATATTTAACTGAAAGCTAATAAAATGTCATGCAAACAATTCAGACACATATGTTTACACTGTGCAACAATATCTTAAAGTGAAAAAGGATTTCACTGTAACTGATGAAGTATCAAAACAGATGTCTTCTTGCTAATTAGTTGACTGACATTACCTTAAAACAAAAATATCTATATTTGAAGCTTTCCTAGTCTTATTTAAGACTGGTTTTACAATTTCAGTGAAGAACATCCATGTATCTTAATAAATGACATGAAATAAAAACAACATGTTCAAATAAGTAACTCTTTGTTTCAAATTTCACTGTCAACTAAATTCCAAATGACAACTTAGATATGTGGGAATATTAATGAGTGACACTATTAGCTACACTAAAGTCAAGCAAAAAATTTTATTTTTTTTATTGCAGGGAATCTCTTTAAAAGTCAATTTTCTGTTGAAACAAGTTTGGGTTTTTAACTCCATAATACAGTCTCTTAACTTCTAAGTTCTTCAATTTTTCACTGACAGCTCCATAACATTCACTATATACGAATTGGAAGTGAAAAATAATTTCATAGTGTGTTCTGTAAGAACTGGAGAATGTAAAATTAGAGATTGTATTATGAAGTTAAAACTTAAACTAATTGCTAGTTATTCATTGCTGGAAATGTCTTTAAAGATAAAAAACCAGAGATTTGTCATAATTTTTTATACTGATACTTCGATAGTGTATAAGAATGAACAGTAAAATTTTTTGTTGAAACACTTTGCAATATTCTCAGCAATAAAAAATAGTTCAACTTTAACACAGTTTAACAGTTAGTTACTAGGTAAATGTGATTCATTGAGTAGATACCATATATCTTAAAAACTGATGCCATTATAATTTCTAACCAAATTTTTGAACATTTTGTGACTTTCTAGGTGAATGTTAAGAAAAATGGTGTGTGAACAAATGTAAGTTACTTATAAATATTACTGTCTCTTCTGTTGATCTTTCTACACATTGGTCCAAAACAGAATATACTTCAATAACATATCAATCTACAGTATCAAACAAATACCTTGCTGGCCAACTCTTGATTCTGATATCTAAAAACATGTAATACAACATTTTTATCATTGTTAAAGGAATCTTAATGGAAGGAGAGCAGAAAGGTGTTGCAGAAATAGATACAACTAGTGAAGTGTAAAACTGCCAATAACTGAAACTCACTAATGTGCCATAACAATAAAATAATTGTGAAGAAAATTGTGAGAAAGGGCCATAACTGCTTCATCTTTATTAAGGAAGCAAACTAGAGTAATAAAAACATAAAATTCTGAAAGAACTGTACCACAACAATCCATCAATTTCAAGATCTGCCTAAAACTTTTCAGTTTATTTAATGTTAGAAATTATTAAATTTCAACACTACCTGTCAAAGCAGTTTAGCATGTGCAAACAACAGCATTAAATCTAAATTGATTGGGTATTTTCTTTTCTAAAGGTAATCAGCTTGCTAAAACTTGTAAAAAAAATTGAAAGAGTGATGAATTGTTGAGATCATTTTTTGAAACCACAAACACTCAATCACAGTTATGTAACCTATTTCTGGCAATGGTAAATTTAACTACGAGATAGACTTTTTTGGCTTTACATCACTTCCTTGTAATTCACCAAGAGAGTAGGACACCAACACAAAAATAACCCCATATATCTGAACAGGCTGTAAATACTTGGTATATAAAATTGTCTATAGTTTTAAAACAAAAAAGCTTCCTTTATTAACCATTTAAAACTAACTGATTTCTAAGTTCACTTATTTTATTGTCATTAAGAGCTTTACAATTATTAAAAATTGTTTAAAATAACTTACTATGTATTTACTTCATTGAAAATCATTTTTAATCCAGGTTTAAATGAAAATACAATTTCAATATGTGAAAAAACAAAAATGTTTTGGAAGAAAAGCTTAATGAAAAAAATGTTTCGTGCAAATAAGTTTTGTATTATTTTCATTAACAAATTGAAAATGTACAAATATTCTCACCAGATGAATATCAAATCATTATTCAAATGTTGTTGGGTTAATCATGTTCAATAACTCTGACTCTGGTAATGCTGTCACACCAAAGAGGTCAAAGTTATGGTCACTTTTGCTCTGTCCATTTCCTTGATCTGATGACTGCCAGTTATAAACAAAATTGTTTGAATTATGTTCTACTGATTGTCCAATAGTACTTACTTCACTTCTTTCTAGACTTTCAGGCTTTTTCAATAAATCTTCTCCAATATAATTTCCATTTAATGGATTTGCACTAATCCTTTCTTCATTAATACATGGAGACAAGAAAACCCTACTGCTATCTTCAAGAATGTTATTTTCTATGTTGGTTTGAATAGTTGTGTTTGTATCAGTATATTCATTCTGAAGGGCTTTTTCAGTACTTAGACTTAGATTGTTTTGGCTAACTAAACCACCCTGAATGTGTGCAGATTCATTAGTAAGAACACCCTGATTCTGAAAGATTTCAAACTCTTCACCATTTTCTTGATTTTTGTTATTTAATACAACTGGTTCTAAACTTATGTTAGCTGGTAGTGTAACTGTTGTGAACACAGGAATGGAATCTGTCTCGGATGGCCTTGTGCAGGCTTTGCTTTGTACTGTTGTTTTACACATGTTCTGCTGACTAGCTTCCTGCATTGTTGAAACTATTACTTTCACTACTTCTACTGCAGCTGTTAGCGTCTCCTGGTTCATAGACTGAAAGCTGTTGGTTGCTGTGGTGGAAGGGTCAGAATTCATTGTGGAAGAATTCTGACCAATAGCCTCTATGTTTGTCGCTATAGCTTTTACAAGTTGAACAGCAGTGCTTAGAGTTTGGTCATTTACAGCCTGTGCATTGACTGATTGACCACCTGTTACACTGGATATTGTAGGTTGACTTACAGAAAGAACACCGACACCTTCATTGTTAGTGGTTTCGGATGAAATAAGTTGCATCATTCTTTGGCTATCAGATAATTCAGAGACACTGGGATGGCTAGTATCATGAGAACTTACTAATTCTAGGGGAACATTCACTAACTTTCCATTCAAGAGAGCAAACTGTGAAGAATCAGAGGATTTCTGACCAAAGGCTTGTGGAGTCGCTTGGACCGTTTTTAGTTCATTCATGGATGTAGTGAACACAGCTTGACCAATACATGGGACACTTGATGCCACTGTCTTTGGAATAAATGTAGTGCAACTTGAAACAGGATTCTGTATAACTACAGGCTGAAAGAGATTATTCAAGTTTGAAGGTTGGACAGGATCTGTACAAGTTAGTACACTAGTAAGTGCTGGTCTTTCCACACAGTCTGAAGTATAAGACAATGTCTGTGGTGTCTTAAGAGGAGAAGTAGCCACAGAGCCTTTAGAAACAGCATAACTCAAAAGGTCATCGCACACAACAGGGTTAGATGCTTGGTCAGGTTGTCTAGCATCAGAGTTCATCTGAACTGAGTGAGTTAGGGCACTGGATGTCTTCAGGATATTTCTTATACTGCATTCAGCTACAGAGGAGAAGGATGGTAGTTCTTGATTCTGATGAACAAAGGTTACAGCTGAAGAAACAGGAGCCTCAGCTGTACACGAGTAAGAAACTAGTTGATTTTGTTCAATCTGGTCTGTCCTTTTGTTTGTCAAAGAATCCAGACTAGATATTTGGCTGACAGGTTGATTTAGGTCATACATTGAAGACGGATCAAAAACAACTTGGTTGGTTTCATGACAGTCAGTTGCACAAAAACTGTGTTCATTTTCAAGTAAGGTTTTGCAGTCCAATTTTAGTGGATTATGTTTTTCAGATGTCTCAGTAAATGTTTTCATACTACAATCATCATCGTAAATTTGTCCCAAATTCAAAAATGAGTTAGGATCATATGAATTAAAATCTAACTCCTGACTTTTGGATTGGCTAAAATTTTGATTCTCTGACTCGACAGTACTAGGGGTGTCTCCAGTTTTTTGAAATAATCCAGATGCTTTATTTTCCTCACTCAAAGCCAAATGATAAATGCTTGCAGCAACATCTTTTACTTCAGCCAAAGAAAGTTCATCATTTCTTCTCATTTTTTGAACATCATTCACTGAAAGCTCAGCACTATTATCAACTCTACCATTTCCTTCTACAAGAGACAAATGATACAAAACATTTTCAGTCTTTCCTCCTCCTTCACTAAGTGACTGGAGCTGAAAAACACTATCTGCAATTGTTCCCGATCCTTTGGAAAACTCTTGAACATCTTTTTCAATATGCAAACTTTGCTTATTTGTCTCATTAACACTTTCAGGATTTAAATTTTCTCCCACCCAAGAGTATTTATGTTTTAATTCATTTGAAGACATGAAAGTTTGAGTTGAAACAGGGGAAATGTTTTCTACATCATGATATAAAGATGTCCTGTCCTCCAAATCTGTCCTTACACTAGTTTCACAATATGGTGTCATTTTCTCTGATGATTCCATTTGTAATTCTTGAGTAGTAGCCAATTTGTTTTGGAAAGATGGTATTGTTTCCTGCAGTAAAGCTGAATTAAACATGTTAATCTTTGAGCAGTTGGCAGGTGTTATTGGTGATGCAGGTTGAGGTATACCACTATTGAAGTTAACTTGTGGTTTACCATTAGGTTTTAACCTGTGACATTTGGAATTAGACCCAAGAGGTTTGGAATTATGGCTTTGAATTAGAAGCTGACGCAAACTGTTAGTTTCTTGCTTAACATTTCGTCTAAATTTCATGATATGTGGGCGACCAAATCTTCTTCTACTATAGTTGTCGCCATGGTTTAACAATCCTTTTGGGACACATTTAGTCGTGGGAAGTTTCACCTTTTTCCTTTTTATGGTCCATCCAGAGTCTTGCTGGTCTTTGCCCTGAAATCCCAGGAAAGTTTATATTAGCAAGAAAGTTTCAGCATCATAAATATTTTTGTGCTCTTTACAGTCAAAGTGATTTTTAATAAAAAAAAAAATGCTTTGTGATTTCACCTTGCTTAATTCTCTTGTCTTTCCTACTTCCAATACGTTGACAGCTCTACTCTGAAGTTTATTAAGGTCCTTAATCTTCTCTTCTTTTCTTTGCCCAGGGTTATTACCTGATTCTTGGGCAGCAAGCTGTTGAATTAGAAGTAACTGAACAGGGTTAGGCTTACTTCCATCTGGTACTGTAATTAAGCATCCATCTAGATATATAAAAGTTTGAGATATAGCTTTTTTTTGTCTTTCTCAAAAATGTACAGTAGAACAACTAAGAATGACAAGCCAAAAGATTTATGAAAACAAGTAACATATTATAACTACTACTGAGACTTGTTTATTTAAAAAAAATGAAAAATATCATGAATAGTTAATATTTAGTATTATAGAAAAAACTCAAGTAGAAAACCTAAAAAAAAAACTTCTCCTATCCTTACTTACATTTATTGGTACAGTAAACAATATACTCTATAAAAGATACATTGTAATGAAACATGATAGTACATAACATCATAATTTATGTAAAAATAAAATAAAAACAATTTTACCTGAAAGACTTCCAAGAGAGTTTATTTCTGAACATCTTTTATGTGGGGCTACTGAAAAAACAGTCTCATTTGTTCCAGGAATAACCACAGTTGAGACCCATGGCTGTAAACCCTGCATGTTTCCACTACCAGGTGTTATCACAGGAAGTTGGATAACAGTTGGGACCACCCCAGTTTGTCTGAAGTGTTTACTGACATTGACAGCAGCTGGTATGAAATAAAAAACACCCATTTTTGTCCAGTTAAAAATAATTTACTAATGCTCAATACAAGATTAATAAATCAACTGTATGAAACTACACATATTTTTTAACTTGCATATTATTGACAAATGTATATTAATAAGAACCAGTAAAATTCTATGTGTAAAAATTAACACACACAAAAAAAAAAACATTGTGCATTAACATTCAATGTATATTTATATGAACCTGTAAAATTCTACAAGTGTAAAAATTAAGATACAAAAAAACACACAAAAGAAATTGTGCATTAACATTCAATAGTTAACCCAGTTTTGTATTACATCAGTAAGTTTTTGCTGATGTGATATATTTTGATATCTTTAGAAATCCTTATAACTTGATGTACCACCACAAACTGATTATAAAAATTAGGTTTTTGATATACTTTATTAATTCCCATTTTACATTTATAATGACTGTGTCTGTGCTAAGTATTCAAAGTTCTACAGCAATGTTTTATATGAATTTTTTAAATGCAAATATTCTTGTTTTTAACTTGAAAAAATAAAAACAGCTGGAAATTTTTCATGTACAAGTAAGTCAATACATCTGACCAATAGAAGTTTACATTTTTTTAAACTAAATGTGTATTAAAACAACTATTCAAATTTTTAATCAATAAAAAAAACAAAATACCAAAATTGACTTGGTTTAAGGCCTGTGTTGCTCACTATATCCAATGCTTTCCTCAAAGACAGCAGTAAAGTTGTGGTCTTAAAACTACATGATAACTTTATGAGATTGGTGAACACTTAAAATTACAGCTACAGTTAATTACTTGGACCAATTAGGCTTATATTTGGACTGAGCCTCTACTTACATTGCTGACACCATTTCATCATAGTTAAACCTATATAAATCAATAAAGCAAAAAAACAACACAGAACACGAATATGAAATACACCAGTTCTCCATACTCAAGTTCTTATCCTAATACTTAAATGAAAATATCTAGAAATTAATTAAAAGAAAATATGAACCCAAGTATTTTTATTTCCTTCAAAAGTCATTTACATAATTGAGAATCATATGCAAAGCAAGTTTTAACATGGTACAAATAGAAAAGCTGTGTTATTAGGCTATTTCATACATTTTCAATGAATATAAAACTTATCACATATGCACCATAAATCTTCAAAAATGAACTTCAGACTTTTTACAAAATTGTAAACTATCCCTGACATTTGGTAGGAGGTGACTAGAAAAACTGGTCTGCAAAAATATTCTCTATAATATATGACCATACTTGCTGAATCTTCAGATTTTTATATAACTGCAATCAACCAATGATCATTTTGCTACAACTGTGAATAATTAATAAAATCAAAACTTGTAATTAATTAACAGTTGCAGCTGTCTTCAGCAAATGATGTGATATTATATCACAAAAAAAGGAGAAATGCTTTGAAAAAATATGGCTTTTATAGTTTTCAAGCAAAATTAGGAAGGCAGATAAATATGAAAATTAGGGCCACTAGAAAACCAGTAACTCTCAGAGGCCTAAATGCACCTATTTAATTCATCTACTGTATGGTCTGTTTTACTGCATTTAAAGTAAAATTATATAGCTTTGAAAAATAGAATATTTCTATATGCATTCTCAATGAATGTGCAGTTTCAAAAAATAAACATTTCACTGATTTGTTTCTAAGGATCAGTTTAAAATGCTTACCTTTTAATTACTGGTTATGCCATAAACACTAATGCTTTCACTTGAAATCAACTCATATTTTGTGGATTATTTAATTCTCTTGTATAGAATTAAATAAAACTAAGTAAATAAATTTCAACTGAAGTTTTTTAACATGTGTTAGAAGGACTAAGTTTATTTTCTATATTGTTTTCAATTCAGTAGTGCAAATTTTCCTTGATGTAAGAATGCATTCATCTGAGCACAATAGAGCTAAGAATGGAGAAGTTTAGAGTGACTAGAGGTGCAATTTTAAAATTCTTAAGAATCACATTTATTTTCTCTATCTTCATTAGCTATTATTTATGAGTTACTGCTCTAAACAAAAATTTCATAATCAGTAAGCAGCTAAAATTTGCAAAAAAAAAAAAGAACTTAAAGTCCAAGGTCTATTTTCATACATTCATATAAATAAGTTACTGGGTCAAGTAGCTGCCAGAAATAAGTTAGACAATACTTAATCATACTTCTTGTATACAGTAAATAAACACTATTTTATACTTACATTGTGCAAAATCAGGTGAGAGATTTGGCACAGTGGTCCCCCTTACAGAATTTGGTGCTGTGCAAGGAAAAGAAATATTAAAAAAAAAATCTAAAAATACAACAAAGGTGTTAGCTTTCACCAATTATCCCAACAGCATAAGCAGCTTGCCAAACAAAGCTGCTTCCACTTCCTAAAAGAAAACTTTCCGATCATGTTTACTATCAAATAATCAATTCTTTCTTTGAAACAAAGAAATGATCTATCACAAATAAAACAAAAATTGAAGCAAAAATTAATAACAAAAAGAGTATCTAAATATAAAAAGCATTGAATCATTCTTCAGTCATTATTTCATACACCTTTCACACCAACAGACATAACATGTATACGTGCAAGTCATCCATTTAGTTACAAAAGTCCTGAAATACAATTTGCTTAAACCTACTTGAAGTGTAAAAGAACTTTTTATTTCAGTTGTTTAAGAATGTATGAATCAAAAATATAATAGCAAGGTTCATTGTAGCTTCACTAACTAGAAAGCAGGAAATCCATTGTAGTTCTTTCTAAGAATGGTTAACATGGTTAAAGAACTTTTGCCCAAAAGTTTTCCAATTTTAAATTAATTAATAGCCTCATAATAAATTTAAAAAAATAACTTGAGGGATCAACAGCTTGCCAAGTAGTATTAAAGCAACCCAATAAAACCCTAACATTTTTGGCAAATTGACGTCTTCATTAGAATCACCACTATCTATGAAAAATAAGTTATTTTTGTTTCAACGATAAACTATATGAAAACATGGAAATAAGTTAGTCTGTCTTATAATCACCACAAAGCTAAAGATGCATGAAATGTGATATGCTTATGTACCCACTGATGTTAATGTCATAGTCAAAGTCGCTACTAACTCCACCCTTCTATAACTAAAACAGAATATATCTTTGTGTTATTTTCTACATTTTTTGTGTAAGGGTTCTGCATGCAGTTATGACATTCCGATTAACTGAATGTCTGAAAAGTCATGAATACATGCTAATTCTTTTACTTAAGTAAAGGTTACATATGGTAATGACTAGAAGCGTGTAACAGTTTGGCCATTTAATTGTATTCACTCCTTCGAGGACAAGCCCATCTCAAGGGGGTAACAAAGATACTTGTAGAGACTAGTAAGATCTGGGGGTTTCTCTCAAGTAGGTGTTATTTGGAATAGTTTGTGATGTACATAGCTTTTGTTTATGACACCACACTTGGACGCTTTGCCTTATATCAAAGTGCAATATATCATTAGTTCCCCTGTCTTTGTCCCATGTAGACATGTTTCAGGAAGCTTATATAGCAGCCAGTATTGCCATTATCTCAAACATAGAGGCCAGTAAGTAAGTTAAGACTCAAGTTAATGACTATGAATATTCTTTGCTTTCAGTGTTTGAAATCATTCCCTGCAGGACATTTCCTGAACTTCATTCTTATGGATACTTTTAGGAAACACTATGTTTTATAGTAATAATCATGGTCTGCACTACATGATACACCATCCTGGAACAAACGTCATTTAGAACTTTAAATGTAAATTTAATCAATGTACATAAACCCCTATCATTCTACTTGTTTTGGAAACTTCTGTATAGAAAATCATAAGCTGCCCTGATAGCACTACATATTTAAAACACTAGAACTTCAATAATATTGTTATTATTCAGCTATAGGTAATACTTCAATATCTAATAAATTTAATGGATAAAATGAAACAATTTTATCCAGGTATAGAGATTACAAACGTAAACAAAACTGATATAATTGCTAAAAAGAGCTAGTGTAAACAATACCAATTTACTAGTGTGCATATGGATCTTTAAATTCTGTGTAGTGTGTCATAGTCAATTGTCATTGGTACTCATTATAAAGAAGACATCTTGCAATATACCACATACCATTTTCTGCCATGCACTTTGAAGTATCTGTCTACAAAATATGAATAAATTTGCAACAAAAGTCCTGCCCATCCATTTTCAATCAATTTCACAAAGTTAATTTAATTAAATTATGATACTCATATTTAAATTATCCCATCAAATTCACAGTAAACCTGTTTCACTTAACTAATTTTCTTTTGCTAATGGTTGCAATGCCCCCACTTTATCTAGTCGGGTATTTTTATCTACACTCTTGCAGACCAGTGGATCGTGCACGTACAAACAAAATGGAAAGTAGAGTATTAGATTCTGTAATTCCTATGGTTACCCCGAGATACAACATCAGTTGGTTATCCGATATGTGGCTGATATTACCATTATCACGCAGGCATATGACCAATGAGATACTGTGCCCATGCTAAGTCTGTTATATGATATCTAGGTATCACTGTCATCAAATCACATACTTGTCTCTTCCAACACCACAGGAAGAATGTGTACTTGATACAAGTGGTCAGAAATGGGAATTGGTTACAGAGTGATGCAAGTGATTTAAAGGAATAAATTACTGTAGCATAGATTCATGTGTGTGTGCTGGGAAGATCACATCAAACATTAATTTATTTTAATTGCAACCATGTAATTCACAGGTAACATATACCAAAAACTTAGAGAGTGATACAAGTAATTTAAATGACTAAATTACTGTAGCATAGATTCATGTGTGTGTGTGCTGGGAAGATCACATAAAACATTAATTCATTTGGATTGCAACATATACCAACATCTTACTTGACCATTCAGTGGTATGGACTGACACAAAGATGTGACTACTTAGAATCCTCCATCTATTAACTTACTAAGTAATATATACTACTGGATTTGTAGAGAACATTTGTGTACTTTTTGTTTCAGAAGTAATTAACATAGAAAATATGTTGCTTAATACAGAAATCTGCATGTGTCAGAAAGCTCCTCTCTCTTGAGCATTATGACACCTGTCACTACATTGCCTAAATTGTTATCCAAACATGATAACTAATTTTGGGCCTTTACTGACACCCATCATTTAAATATGTTCAATGAAAATCTTAAACACAATCAGCTTGGTATATTTGTATTAATACTTAGGACTTCAATCTTGTACTCATTTACTCTAAAGGTATTTATCAACAATCATCATAACCAATATGTTGAATGTCCCTCAAGCAACAACAATGTAGACATCTACTATTCTTTATTCACACCCATGTTCACCAAACCTGTTAACCACACAAAACATTCTCTATAGTTTCCATTATACAACCTATCAAATTTTTTGAAAAACATTAATTATATAAACATTCTTCATCTTACAATTTCATTCATATTATAGCACATACACAATTGCACGTTTGTTGCCCTACCATACCTGTATTCACATGTTGAAAGGTTTACACCCTGCCACACCAGTGCTCACATGATGATAGGTTTACACCCTTCCATATTAGTACTAACATGATGATATGTTTACACCCTGCCATACCAGTACTCAAATGTTGAAAGGTTTACACCCTGCCATATTAGTACTAACATGATGATAGGTTTACACCCTTCCATATTAGTACTAACATGATGATAGGTTTACACCCTGCCATACCAGTACTCAAATGATGAAAGTTTTACACCCTGCCATACCAGTACTCACATGATGAAAGTTTTACACCCTGCCATACCAGTACTCACATGATGAAAGTTTTATACCCTGCCATACCAGTAC